GTTGCCTTCTTTATTCTAAAGTCATAGTTCACATATTTTGATCTTTTACTAAATTTTAACCTGTTGTTTCAATGAATAAGCTATAGTGTTTCAGTTGTGTTTGTAACACATAGATATTGGAATGAAAAGTTATTTACTTGTGTATATTTTTGTGGCAGGTGGTCTATTTCACACCACTTTCCAGACAACTGGAATTTGAAGCAACTTCTACAACCGTGATCCCTTTGTTCCACTTGGCATAGCTTCTAATCATATTATTTGCACTCACATCATGCTACAGGTAAAACAGCTTTACTGGTTGTTTAACTCTTTTTAAAAATTATTTGCGTGTGATGAAATACATATAAAAGATATAAAAGATGTCATTTCAATCATTTTTCAGTGTATTATTCAGTGGCATTAATTAGATTCACACTGTCAACCGTTGAATTAGATTCAACGTGCAACCGTCACAACTATCTGTTTCTAAACATTTTCCATCACCCCAAACAGAATTTGTATAAGCATTCGGCAGTAACCTTCCATGGCCCCAGTCCCGGTTAACCTTCATCTACTTTCTATCCCTATGAATTTGCCTATTCTAGAGATTTCATATAAGTGGAATCGTACAATATTTGTTCTTTTGTCACTGGCTCATTTCACTTAGCACAATGTTTTCAAGGTTCAACTATGATGTAGCATGTATCAAAACTTCATTCCTTTTTATGACTGACTCATATTTCATCGTGTATAAACAGCTCTGTTTATCCACTTATCTGTTGATGGGCACTTGTAATGTTTCCACCTTTTGGCTATTGTAAATAATGCTGCAATGAACCCTGGTGTACAAATATTTGTTTGAGCTTCTGTTTTCACTTCCTTTCAGTATATACCTAAGAGTTGAATTGGTGAGTTGTATGATAATTCTTTGATGAACAGCCAAACTGCTTGCCACAGAGGCTACCCCATTTTATATCCTACCAGCAATGTATAAGGGTTCCAATTTCTGCACATCCTCACCAACACTTGTTACTTTTTGTTTTATTGATTATAGCCATCTTAGTAGTGGCAAAGTGTGGCTTGATTTACAATTCCCTAATTACTGATGATGTTCAGTATCTTTTCATGTGCTTATTGGCCATTTGCCTATCTTCTTTGGAAAGATGTCTATGCAAGTCCTTTGCCCATTTTTTAATCGGGTTGTTTGTCTTTTGGTTGTTGAGTCCTGTTGTTAATGAGTACTTTGTGTATTTTGGATATTAAACCCTTATCAGATATATGATTTGTAGGGGTGCCTGGGTGGCTCAGCTGGTTGAGCATCCCAACTCTTGGTTTCAGCTCAGCTCATGATCTCAGGGTTGTGAGATCGAGCCCCTCATCAGGCTCAGTGCTGGGTGTGGAGCCTACTTAAGATTTTCTCTCCCCCCGCCCCTCCCCCCTGCTCATGCTCTTGCTATCTCTCTCTTTCTCTCTTTCTCAAAAAAAAAAAGATACATGATTTGTAAATATTTCCTCCCACTCCGTGTACTGTCTCTTCACTTTTTTGATAATGTCTTTAATGCACAGGAGTTTTTAATTTTGATGAAATCCAATTTATCTTTTATCATTTTTCTTTTGTTACTTATGCTTTTGGTGTTACATCTATGAAGCCATTGACAAGTCCAAGGTCATGCACATTTTCCCTGTGTTTCCTTCTAGGAGTTTTATGGTTTTAGCTCTTATATTTAAGTTGTTGATCAGTTTTTAGTTCATTTTTGTATATGGTGTGAGTAGAGGTCATTCTACTCACATATGGAATTCATTCTTGCACATATGGAAATCCAGTTGTCCAGGTACCATGTGTTGAAGAGACTGTTCTTTCCAAGTTGGTTGAATTTGGCATCCTTGTCAAGAATCAATTGGCTGTAGATGTATGGGTTTATTTCTGGACTCTCAATTCTATTCCATTAGCCTACAAGTCTGTTGATTTGCCAGTACCACACTGTTTTGATTGCTGTAGCTTTGTTGTGAGTTTTGAAATCTGGAAATCACAATCCTCCAGTTCTTTTCTTCTTTTTCAGGGATATCCAGGGATCCTTGCAATTCCATATGAATTTGACGGTTGGGTTTTCCATTTCTTAAGAAAAAAAAGGCCAATTGGAATTTTGTAATGAAGATTGTGTTGAATCTATAGGTTGTTTTAGATGTGATTGACATTTTAACAATACTGTCTTCCTCCCCATGAACTAAGGATTTCTTTCCATTAATTTAGGTCTTCTTTAGTTTCTTTTACCAAATTTTTGTAATTTTTAGTCTTTCACTTCCTTGTTTAAATTTATTTCTAAGTATTTTATTATTTTAGACACTATTTAAATGGAATTGCTTTCTTCATTTCATTTTTGGATTGTTGATTGCACACAGAAACACAACTGATTTTTGTGTGTTGATCTTGTATCTTGCTTTGTTCAATTTGTTTATTAACTCTATTAGTTTTATTGTGGATTCTTTGGAATTTTCAGATATAGAATCATGTAATCATGTAAAAAGGAATAGTTACCTTCTTCATTTCCAGTTTGAATTCCTTTTATTTCTATTTCTTATCTAATTGCTCTGGCTAGCACTTCTACTTCA